GACAGATCTACAGTTGTTAGTAAACAACAGATATCAGAAACACAATCTTTTGATACCTGATGTTATTTTATAAAACCGTTTTGTTCCCTTAAATAAAAAAATAATAATGTCAGTTTCAAATGAAAACTTAACATAGACATATGAAGCATTTTTAACATAATAATATCTTTAAAATATAGCTGCATCTGTGTCTTTAGAGACATAACTAAAACAAAAATTGGATTGAGTTGTTGTTGTTTTTTTTGATGCATTTCTAAATTTTCACTCCAATTTCCCAGCCTGACTGAGCATTTGTGCTGCTAAAGCTCTGACAGCTCAAATGCTCATTCTGGTCCCACGAACGCCAAGAAAAGCCTTAGATGTTCATATTCATGCTGCTGTATTTCAGAGCTATTTTGGAGGCACAAAGCAAACCTACACTATATTACAAATGTGGTTTAAATGTTTTGGCTAATCAATGTAATGAAGTAAGACCTTAGTAGCACAAAATACGTCCATAAAGAAAGCAAATGGATTACAGAACAGAGACAGATCTTTATTTTATTGCTATTTTAGCTACAGAGAACTGAATGGTTTTTTGGATACATGTAGATATTGTAGCGGGTCGGGGCTGTTCGGGGTTCTGTTTGTACAGTGATGTTTTGTTTGTGTTGCCATGGTGACAGGTGACGCCCTCTCGCTGCGAAGGTGTGTCCTTCCGGGGGTCAGAGGGCGCCCTGTGTTGTTGTTGTTTTTCGCTGTGCTGTGGCCGCGCTGAGCATTAGCTAGCGGCAGTGTTTTCTGGAATTGTTAATAAATGGCTGTGCTCCCTGGCTAGCTCACGGAAGCAAGACCGAACGACACCTCCGTCTCCTCCTTTTCTGAGCTCGCCACATTGGTGTCAGAATTGGGATAGCTCACCCTCGCCATAATGGAGAGAGACATTCAGAGGCTGGAGCAAGCTGTCGAGGAGAACATTCCCCGCCTGGGAAACTGGCGATTGAAGAGAGAGTATGTGAGCGGCCATGTAAGTCCCCCGACATGTCCCGATGGCGCGAGTGCACCGCGGCGGCGGCCCATCGCGACAGATGCTAGGGCAATGCTTCATGGGCTACCTCTGTCGACCCGCACGCCGAGCCCCCAGCCACGAGCAGTTATGCCTACCACGCCAGTCAAGGTACCGAAATACAACGGGCTAACCCCGCTAGAGCCCTACCTCTCACAAGTGCGGCTGGCCACCAGACATAGTGGCTGGAGCGAAGAGGAGACTGCTACACACCTAGCGCTAGCATTAGAGGGAGATGCACTGCAGATACTCCTCGACCTAGCCCCGGCAGAGCAGCATGAGCTCCAGGCCCTCACCGCGACACTCGAGAGGCGATTCGGGCAGCGGCACTCCACTGATCAGAGCAGAGAGCAGCTGACCAACCAGAGCCGTCGACCGGGGGAGGCCTGGGCACCTTTGCAGCAGACGTGTTGCTGTATGCTCGTCGTGGCTACCCGGAGTTTCCAGCAGCAGCCCGTGAGGAGCTTAGCTTGCATGCTTTTCTGCGAGGACTTTTCCCAGAGCGACTACACCAACACGTCCGCCTGGCCATGCCTCAGACCCTCCGTGAGGCGCTCCTTGAGGCTGAAAGGGCCGAGCCAGTGCTCACCTCGCGACCTAACCAGCAGGTGCCCCCCCCCCCCCAAACTACCCCCAAATCAGAGCCGCAGACTGCGACGGGGAGGGGGAGGTCGCCGAGATTTCCCAGCTGCAACCCTCGGTGCCCCGGAGGCGTCCTCGTCGACCGACCGCTGCTACCGGTGCGATGAGCCTGGCCACGTGGCGCGTCACTGCCCAGCACCAGCCCCGGAGACCAGAACTACGCAGCCTCAGGGAAACGAGGAGGGAGCGGTGTAGCGAGGGGACCACCACTCCAGCTTCCTGCCCCCCTCCAAGGACGATGCACAGTGGTGGGCCGAGTTGGGCACCTCAAAGGACTCTACCTGAGCTGCTGTGTTGAGGACCAGCCGTGCCAGGCCCTGGTGGACACGGGGTCTACCATTTCCCTGCTACGACCTGGCGTGCTCCCTGAAACATCTGGGCCACTGGTGAAGGGTTGGTTGCCCACGGACACCCAGCTGCTGACAGTGACGGGGGAGAAAACTGTTATGCGGGGGAAGAAACCGTTGCGGATCCGAGTGAAGGATCTAGAGCTGGTGCACGACTTCTGGCTCGCCGACATTCAAGACCAGTGCATCATTGGCCTGGATCTGCTGAGCCGCTGGAGGGCCTGCGTCGACACCGCGAAGCTAGCTGTCACTCTTGGCGCAGAGACTTTTGCCCTCCAGCCCGGCCAAAAGTAGGGAGTGGGGACCAGACGAGACAGGCGTCAGGCAGCTGCTGCTCAGCAGATTTCGGATGCCGGTGGCTCTGGGTCATCTTCACCCCCAGTCCCCAGATCTCCACTCGCCTCAGCCTCTCAGCCCGACAAACCTCCTTCGACCGAGACCGTCGAGGCTGTCGATGACCTTTGGCAGCGCAGTTGCGTAGGCCTCAACGTCGACCAGCGCCAGCGGTTGAGGTGCCTCCTGGACGAGAATGTGGACATCTTTGCCGCCAGTGACAAGGACTGTAGGCAGATGAGTCTGGTCCAGCACACCATCGACACCGGCTCTGCTCAGCCCATCCGTCTGCGCCCACACCGGCTGCCCCTCTCAAAACGGCAGGTAGCGGAGGAGAAGATCCGTGAGATGGCTGCGGCTGGGGTGATCGAGCCGTCCAATAGCCTATGGGCGGTACCCGTGGTTCTGGTGGGGAAGAAGGATGGCAGCCCGAGGTTCTGTGTGGACTTTCGCCGTCTCAATGCAGTCACCAAGAAGGACTCGTACCCGCTGCCGCGGATCGACGAGGCCCTATTTACGTTACTGGCTCCAGTTGGTTCAGCTCCCTCGACCTACGCAGCGGTTACTGGCAGGTGGAGCTAGCCCCCGACGCAAGGCCTAAGACTGCATTCACCATTGGACAGGGGCTGTGGCAGTTCAGGGTCATGCCATTTGGGCTCTGCAATGCGCCAGCGACGTTTGAGAGGCTGATGGAGAGGGTGCTCGTGGATATCCCTCGTAGCCGCTGCATTGTGTACCTGGTGGTGCCCGGTGGTGACTTCGACAGTGCACTGTCTCACCTGAGAGAGGTCTTGAGTGCCATCCGACGAGTTGGGCTGCGGCTCAACCCCGCGAAATGCCGCCTGTTGGCGAGAGAGACCACGTTCTTGGGCCATGTGATCAGCGCTCGAGGTGTCGCCACTGACCCCGCAAAAGTGGCAGCGGTCCGGGACTGGCCGACTCCCTCGAACGTCCAAGAACTGCGGAACTTCCTGGGCCTAGCCTCCTACTACCGTCGGTTCATCAAAGGGTTCGCGACAATGGCCAGCCCCCTCCACCGCCTGACTGACAAGGGACAGCTGTTTGGCTGCGGGGATGCCTGTGCTGCGGCTTTTGCACAGCTGAAGGAGGCCCTCACCAGAGCCCCAGTCCTGGCCTACCCCGACGCCCGGCAACCTTTCATTGTGGACACTGATGCTAGCATTGTAGGGGTCGGGGCGGTCCTCTCCCAGCAGGATGAGGCTGGAGAACGGGTGGTGGTGTACTTCAGTCGTGCCTTGGGGCGAGCCGAGAGGAACTACTGCGTGACCCGGCGGGAGCTGCTGGCCGTGGTGCTAGTGGTGCGGCACTTCCAGCCATATCTGCATGGCTGCCGGTTCCTCCTGCGCACTGACCATGCATCTCTGACTTGGCTCCTGAACTTCAAACACCCAGAAGGGCAGGTGGCCCGCTGGCTGGAGGTCCTTCAGGGCTATGACTTCGAGATCCAGCATTGGCCAGGTCGACAGCATGGCAACGCTGATGCCCTCTCCAGACGGCCCTGCGTAGCCGTCAAGTGCCGCTACTGCCTGCGACAGGAGGAGCGGGCCCAGGAGGTGCTGGGGGTGGCTACTGCTCAGGCCACAGCCGGCGGAAGGGGGTGGCTCCTGTTGACAGCACAGCAGCTGAAGCGGGAGCAGGAGGCCGACGCGACGCTGGTTCAGGTGGGGGCCTGAGATGGACTACTACAGGAGGCTGAGGGAGCGGCTGCAGGTGGTTCATGACTACACCCGCCAGGCCCAGGCCAATGACAGAAAAGAGCCTACGACACCAAGTGCCGAGGGGGGGGGTTTCATGCCTGGCGACAAGGTTTGGGTGTACTGCCCAGTTCGCAAGAGAGGAGTGTCCCCCAAACTCTGCAGTCACTGGCAAGGGCCGGCGGAGGTCGTGGAGCGGCTAACTGACGTGGTGTACCGTATCCGCATGCTGGGCCCGGGGCGCATGGTGGTGTTGCACCAGGACAGGCTCTCACCGTACCGACCGCTCGCTCCGGCGGACGGTGGGGCAGAGGATGATGGTGGCACCCCATGTTCTGACCCGAGTGACTTTTCCCCTGCCGGTCGTGACTGGCCGGTGCGCCAAAAGAAGGCACCTGGACATTTGTAGGACTTTGTGTGGGGTAATGGGGTCGTCGGGGACGACTGACCCCTGAGGTGGGGGCTATGTAGCGGGTCGGGGCTGTTCGGGGTTCTGTTTGTACAGTGATGTTTTGTTTGTGTTGCCATGGTGACAGGTGACGCCCTCTCGCTGCGACGGTGTGTCCTTCCGGGGGTCAGAGGGCGCCCTGTGTTGTTGTTGTTTTTCGCTGTGCTGTGGCCGCGCTGAGCATTAGCTAGCGGCAGTGTTTTCTGGAATTGTTAATAAATGGCTGTGCTCCCTGGCTAGCTCACGGAAGCAAGACCGAACGACACCTCCATCTCCTCCTTTTCTGAGCTCGCCACAATATTGATACTTGCTTTAAGTTATGGAAAAATACTGGTTCAGCTTTATACAATGAAATGTTTAAAATGTCTTGAGAGACAAAGAGAGAAAGAGACATTTATTTACACAGTTGTGTGCTAACCTAAAAAAGGAAACATAAACATGAATATCTGGTGTAATAATTGTGTTCTCTGTTCACCCAGCCGTCTTTTAGAGATTCTGAGCAGTTCATAGTCATGTAAAAGTAGCAACGAAACCAACTGTATTTTCATAAACATTGTTAAAAAACGATAATTTTTTAATTTAGGTGTTGATGTTTCTTTGGTTGGGGGGAGGGGGGGGGGGCACGGGTTGCCTGTGGGGGTTTCAGCTCGGCACTCTTCCAATAACCAGCATTTTATTAAATCTCTTGGAAACATTAAGCTCAACATCCATGAAAACAACATTAAGACAACCTTGTGAAGCAATCTAGCTACAAACAGCAATAACTTAATTAGCATGTTGCTATCACACTGCCTCAAGTCAAAACCAAAATGTCCTTTTCATTAAATACGAGTCCTTTATTCGACTGCTTCATTAAATACGAGTCCTTCCTCCAACTGTGTGAGCTATGTGATTGCAACATTGACAGTAGAATAGAGGTTGCTGGGATCAGCAGTGGATGCAGAGGATGGAGCATTCACCATGCTGTAGGTCACAGTATCGCCTTCACCATCACGATGAACCTGAAAAACAAAAGGAATTTGTATGATACATAAACTAACATGAATAAATGAATAACGTTGAAGTCCTCAGTGCCTTATTTTGCAATTTTGATGAAAGTAATCTGAAGCCTATCAAAAATGTAATAGCTTCTTCCTCTGCACATATTCAACATTAATCATATTAGACAGTCTTTGCCAGCTTACCTGGGTTTTACTGTTGCTATTCTTGGTGTAGCTGATGGTGGCATAGGAAACTTCAGGCTCCACCTACACAATGAAAAAAAAACAGCAGAACATGCTGTCACCTCACTAATATGTGTGATGCTGTGTCATGTAATAATAACAACTCTTCATCTGCTGAACACTTCAAAACTCTTTAACTACCTTGAATGTCATATGCAGTGTTGGGAAGGTTACTTTTAAAATGTATTCCATTACAGAATACAGAATAAATGCCCCAAAATGTATTCTGTAACATATTCCATTACGTTACTCAATGACAGTAACCTATTCTGAATACTTTGGATTACTTAATATATTATCATGCTTTTTACAACAACGTGAATGTACTATTGCTGTGTGATTTATTACCATTACTGAAGGTCCGCGGCTCCGAACCTTAGTAAAGGGACCTCTGACTAATACGGCGGGGTCCGTGTTGGGCTTTCAGCCGAAAAATAGCTTTACTTTGTTGTGTGGGTCAACTTTTCTTGCGAGAGACAGAGAGAGGCGTTGAAAGGCTGCTCCAACGGAACTTATTGTTTTCGGAGGAGAACACGGTGTACAGTCGAGTCTTAATAGCTTACTTACAACTGGGCTCCTCAGGCACTCTTCTTGGCTGCAGTGGTTATTATTATATTTACATGCTTCCAGCTCCCGTTTTTCCTCGACGACAACTCGTACCTTTCCACTCCCCTTTTTCTCCCTCCTCTTGCTCACAGACACGGGTATAACGGGTATGGCAGTCCATTCTCCCTGCAACACGGACTATACTGCCCATGATGCTACATTCTTTTGAGCTATTCTTGTAGCATTCTGCCTGTTAGCTTAGCACAACAACAACAACAGCAAAAAGGTGCTCTCTCACCCAGGAAACACACAGCCGCGCGAGAGATAGAGCGTCGCCCTGTAACCATGGCAACCGTAACGCTGCCGCCTGGAACAACAGAACGTAGCTGTCAAACAAAACCCAAACAGTCCTGACCCGCGACAATATGAAACAGGAAAGTACCGCAGTGTAATCCATTTATTTCAACAAAGTAACTGTATTCTAAATACCACCTTTTTAAACGGTAACTGTAACGGAATACAGTTACTCATATTTTGTATTTTAAATACGTAACGGCGGTACATGTATTCCGTTACTCCCCAACACTGGTCATATGAGGTGGCATATTGTGGTGACCTGCTCTACCTCCTGAGCTACAGGAGGTAGAGCAGGTCACCTGTTGATTGTAAGGTTGGTGGTTCGATCCCTGGCTCCTCCAGTCTGCATGCCAAGTATCTTTGGGCAAGATACTAACCCCAAGTTGCTCTCTGATGTATCCATCGGAGTATGAATGTGTAAGAATGTAGTTAGGAAGCACTCAGTTTAGAGAATGCATGGGTGTGAATGTGGTATGTTGTATAGAGCACTTTGAGTACTCTGGGAGAGTAAAAAAGCGCTATATAAGAATCAGTCCATGTAAACTGTCTCAAAATGTTATTTTTGCATTAAAACTGCTGTTCAGTGTTGAAACTGCTGTTCAGTTGCATCATCTTACTTCCTTATCCTTTCTATAGCTCCAATGTTTCTTATGCATTTATATTTAGAGAAAACATTAAAGACAAAGTGGTTTACACTTTGCTCTGGGTGTAGTGTGTGATCTCACCAAGTCCTGAATGGTTTGAGGAGCAGATTGAGTCTCTGTGGGCTTCAAACTCAGTCCCTGAAAAAGAAGACATAGTCCAGTTACATCTGGAGGAAAACTGTCTCTGTGATGCTAGTTTAGCTCGAGGTTAAGGCACCTCAATGATAAGCTGACATATTGCTTATTTAATGTAAGTTGAACAAACACTTAATTATGTATATTAAAACTCACAGCATTTTCATACTTCTGTGTTTTGTTTCCTGAAAAGACAAAAATATTCACTGTAAAACTCCACATTTGTCAAACCCTCTTGATCTATAAAAGTTTTATCTGTAAATGTTCTCACCCTTATTTTTCTTCCATCTGATGACAAACACAGCTGTTATTACCAATATAACCAAACCAACAGCTCCAGTGATGTACAATGAAAGAGCTGAAATAAAAAGTATATAATGAAACATAAAAACATATTTGGATGAAAGTTCTTACAAATGTTTGAAAAACTTTTCATGCAGCTTAATTGCATACAAAATGCGGTTAAAGTGACATGCTATATATGCACAATAACTTGATGAGAGTTGATGAGAAAAACATGAACTGCATGAAGGTTTAAATTCAGACGTGACTTTATAGGCAGAAACTGTCCGACTACATAAATACTAGGGGTGCAACGATATTCGTATCGATATTGAACCGTTCGATACAGTGCTTTCGGTTCGGTATGCATATGTATCGAACAATACAACATTTGTAATTTATTTTATCAACTTTCCTTCTGACGATGCTGTCTGTGTTGAGCGCTCAGTGAATCTGTGTTCGACTACTCTGCCTAGCCTGCACTGTCGAGCGCAGATCCACTGAGCGCTCAGCGCAAACAGCATAGTCAGAAGGAAGAGCGCAGGGCAAGCTAGCGAGACAGAAGTTAAGCTCTCCTTGCAACAGGCAAATTGAACCTCATTCAGATCTGGCGTTTGGAATTATTTTGGTTTTCATGTGACATATGACCCTGAAGGTAAGCGAGTCATGGACTAAAGTAAAACAGTATGTTGGATGTGCCATGCAATGCTCAGTTACATTGGTGTGAACTAGTGTGTTAGCGCAGTTAGCTCGTTAACGTGTTGGCCGTCTAGCCCCATGCACGGAGCGATCGGCGGTAGCTCGTTAACGGAGATTTGCCGTGTTGTGGCGTTAAGGTCATTTCAACGAGATTAACCTGAAAGCACTAGTGGGAACACAACGAATATGACTGCACATTTACGCCGACATCATCCTAGTGCAAAGACAAGTGGAAGCAGACAAAAAAAAGCAAGCTTGCTACTAACTTTAGCTGAGTCATTTAGACAGCTGTTAGCACATGATTCTCCTTATGCTGCTGAGAATATAGCCCAGAAGAAGCGGATAGTATAGCTTTTATTTTGGAAAGAGCCGTTTCTCTGTAATAAACTCTCTTTTCCAAAGATGAGTGATTCCTCAATCAGATACAGGGCTCGCAATATCGCTAGCCCGACGTCCCGGAGCTAGCGATTTTTTTCAGTCGGGCTGCCAAAATCTATCTCTTCCCTGCCCGTCGGGCTATTGTAGGAAGGAAAAATATATGTCAATGCTTTTGCATTCTTTCAGAAATGTAGCTGGGTAATTATGTCATTGGCATCGGTGAGCCACTGTCAATATGTGACATATTGAAGTTGCGTTTGAATTTGCGCTTGTTTTTTTGCTTTCACTTTGCAATCGTGCGAACTGTGTATAGAGAGCGACAGCACTGATCTGTGAGTGATGATAATTTGTGCACCAATTTCTCTGACATCGTCTTATTAATCGTTAGCTTACTATGCAAACATGACAAGTGAAATCTCCCGCAGCAAGCTTAAACATGTGAGAGGTTGATCGCGCAGAGAATCGCTGAGCTTATGTGAGTGCGTGTGTAAAAGCATTTCAGTTCTGCTGAGCCAAATAAGACAGGTCGGGGTGAAGAAATGACAGCCAAAGAAAAGCTTACCACAAAACGGAGAAGTTATGACAAATCAGACTACAAGGCAAAAAGAAAGTGCAGCTTTATGGTTTCATGGACAAAAGAATTTCTGTGGCTGCAATATGACGAGCTAAATAACCAGGGCTGCACATAAGTGGTCCGCAGGTGCGCATTCGCTGTCAAAATAAAAAACACGCACAAGGGTTAGGGTTAAATTTAAAAACTGTACTTTTGAGTTAAAATATATATTTATAATTTTAATAAATGACAAATTAAAAATGCATGAACATTTTTTTGTATCGAAAAAATATCGAACCGTGACACCAAAGTATCGAACCGAACCGAACCGTGAATTTTGTGTATCGTTGCACCCCTAATAAATACATCTCCACTACATCACATCTCCAATGACTACAAAGATATTCAGAAGTGAATCAATCACTGAACTGCAAAAATCAATCATTTTCTGCTTCCTGTAAGATAAGAGGCTTATTTTGGATGTCTCTAATGTAATGGAACAAAATGGAAAATAAATATTTAAAAACAAAAGTTTAAAAGTCTTCTTAAAGCTCCAAACAAACAGATATTTTTGATGAATGTAGTCAGCTTAATCATCATAATCTAACCTGTAATGGAAGGACTACTTTTTGTTATTGTGGTTGTTTCTGGTGTTGTGTCGCTTTCAGATTTACTGTTCATTTTTGTTGTTGTTTTTGGGTCAACTGAATAAATGAAAAAATAGGGGAAAAACATGTTCAAAATTTGTTTCATAGTGTGCTTTATATGTTTTATATAGAACAACATTTTTTCTGCTTAAAATGTTACATTTTTCTATCACATAAATATTTAAGGTGATTTTAGTCATTTTAAACATTTGATCAGGATCTCACCTGTTTCCTCACCTGAGGGCTGTGAGCTAAACACCTGTACTCTTCCTGATTTAGTATCAGTCACCTCACACTTGAGTATTTCATCCCTTGATGAGTATAAATAATTATTCTTCAGAACAGACACAGTAGTGGAGCAGTGAGTCTGTGAAATCACAATTTCTTTGTTCTCTTTGTCCACATCTTGACCTTTAAGCAGCCATTTCAATGTGTGACGACACTGTTCATTTCTCACCACAGAGCAGCTTAACGTCACCTTCTCAGTGTCCTTATATTCAGTCACTGGCAACGATGGAGACAAAGACAGCTCAAATTAGTCAAGTTATCTTAATAACTATGATTGTTGTCATGTTTGAGAACAGTATGAAAATATTTTGATGTAAATACTCACAGGTAATAACAGAGAGATCAACCAACGACTGATGAACCAGAGTGTCCTCAGCTCGTGTTTTTCCTAGTTTGTATTGTTGACAGGAATAAAGACCAACATCCTCGACTGTGAGCTTCTTTATAAGCAGAGAACAGTTCACTGTAACTCTCAGTCTGTCTGATTTAGTTTTGACTTTTTCACTAATCTGTCCAAGTGTGATCAGCTCTACTGTTGGTTTGCTTGTTGAAGTAAAGATCCACGTAGTCCCATCACAGTTATTCTGCTCATCTATCACATTTAGACAAGGCAGAGTGACGTCATCTCCAACTTTCATAAAAATGGATGTTTCATTTACAGATACTGTTGAGAAGATTAAAGAAAAATGTGAAAAATAAATTAGAATAAAGAATTTTTTACAGTCAGACTGAAGATCATTTGAGATACATTTCTAAATAGAGCATGCTCAGCTGTCTTGTTTGCTGTAAAGTTAGTGTTGGCAATAATACTGATAACATTTATTTTAACTGCTATTAAAATGTTTCCTGTATTCTTACCTGCGATCTGAATCATCAGCATCCGACATAAAAACATTTGAATCCATCTGAATTCACCCATCGTGCTTCTCTGTCTCACTTCTTTTTTGTTCTCACTCTCGACTGTCACACCCTCTGAACTGATGAGTACTTAAAACTTTTGTACTTCCTGTCAGTAGCGAGATTTCACTTCCTCAGCAAAATGTCTTTAGTTCTCTTTTTTCCTGAAGTCTACATTTCATAAATGAGTATCTCACTCTTTGTATGAAATTCATGGTGTAATTTTTTTTTATACAAAGTGACGTTATATTTATATTTAGCAGATGCTCATTGTGTCCATTCCCACAGTGTATTTATAATAATGATGTGTATGGCACATCATTGTTATAAAGATTTTTTGGTGAAGGTGAGAAATGTATTTCTTCAACAGTTAAAAGGTCAAACTCCTTAAACCCAATAAAATTTGACTTTTGATGTCTGAGAGATTATTTTAGTTTATAAAACAGAGCAGATAAGATGATTTAGTCAACTGAAATCTTCCTGTTCCTTGTTCTTAATCTTAAGTAATTGCTTCCTGATGAAGTCAAGAGGAAGTGTTTTCTTCAAAAAGTGGCGGCAACAACATTATCAGAGCTCTTCAGGTTTGACTCTATAATAACAACTAGATAAACAAAAGAAACATAAATTGTTCAAATACAGAGGAGATGTGACTAAATTATTAAATTATTATTTCTAACAGAATTAAGGTTGAGCTGTATATGTGCTTATTTTATTGTGTTTTTTTATTGTGTTTGAGTGTTTGTTTGTTTGTTTGTTTTTTAGCTTCTGAACTTTACTGAGCTCTGATGAGTTTAATTTACATCATTGCTTGTTTTTGTGAGGTTTGTGAGAGGTTTACTGGGATGTTTTTGTTCTGTCTGAAAATAAATCAAGTTAATTTGCATAGTAAAGTATCATAGTCAATACAGTTTTTCTCAAATGTTAAAACACAAAAGCCAATCCTGTAACCCAAATGACCAGTAGTCTAAACACATTTACTAAATGTAGCCACCATATTCCAGTACCATAAACACATGTCACATGAAGACACAAGTCACAAAACACAACCCTCTGTACTCATAAATCTAAACACATTTTTCCTTGCTAAAACACATGTTGCAAAACAACTCTGCTCATATTCTCAAATGAAAGCCCATGTGATGCAAAATGCTTGCCACAGTCACCAATCTTTGAACACAGGGAACACACCTGGCGTCATTCACTACACACAATGTCTCAAAATTGAAGACACTTGTTGCTAATGCTGTACCCACATGTAAAAGCAAGTTCAGAGTGCACAGTATGCTGAAGATTCCAAACAAACACAATGGATGAAGGCAGAGTCAGGGGAAGAGGAATTTGATGCAGAGGAGGGAGAAGAGCTGGCCCTGGAAGAAGAGGAGCAGGCCAATGAGGAAGAGGAGTTCAAATGAAAGGAGGAAGAGGAGCGACCAACGAGGAAGAGGAGAAGGCCAACATGGGAGAGGAGAAGGTCCAGGAGGGAGAGCAAGACAACCTCGCACCATCATTACGGACGAGATGCGAGCAACAGCTCAGCGACATGATGCCGCACAGTGATTGTGGTGTGTGTGTGGTGTGAATAACGTAAATAAAAAAACTTCACACCCTGTTCATGTTTTCAAGATTACTGTTGTGTGCAATAGATTCTGTTTTTGCATTGAGTTGTGTTACAGTAGTGTACGTACATGCAGGATTTTCTATAGATTTATACTACTCATATGAAACTCACAAATCTAAATGCCTAATCCTCTGCAGAGATCTACGACGATCCGTTACTGTATAGTTTCTAAAATATGCATTGGCAGTTATGAAACAAAGAACCTTCTCACAAATTGAGCATTGTGTTTTCAATTGTTTTGCTGTAGTGTGTAATGCTGTGTATAGTGTTTACAGTTTTGACAGCTTTGAGCTGCTCTCTTGGTGTGGGAGTTTGAGTTTTGCAGTGGGAAGGTGTGGTTGTGTTTATGTAGCTTTAGAGAAGGGTGTTGTGTTTGGACATTGGGGGACCTGGTGGTAACGTTTGTGACATGTGTTTTAGCATTTGAGAAAAACTGTAATAAAGAGAATAATGATGCAGACTTGACGGGAGAAGGGAGTGAAAGATGGATTCATGCAGCGGCTGCAGTGATACGTATACTGTACTGGTCCGTCGTGGTGAAGAGAGAGCTGAGTGTAAAAGCGCAGCTGTCAATTTACGGGTCAATCTACGTCCTAACCCTCACCTATGGACCACGAGCTGTGGGTAGTGACCAAAAGAACAAGATCACGGATACAAGCGACGGAAAGTATCTTCTTCTGAAGGGTGGCTGGCATCTCCCTTAGAGATAGGGTGAGGAGTTCGTCCGGGAGGGGCTCAGAGTAGAGCCGCAGCTCCTCCACATTGAAAGGAGACAGAAGAGGTGGTTTGGGCACTTGAAAAGGATGACTCCTGGCTGAGGAGCTCTGGGCATGTCCCACCGGGAGGAGGCCGAAGGGGCAGACCCAAGACACGCTGGAGAGATTGCATCTCTCTGGACAAGCTGGAGGAGGTGGCCCAGGAGAGGGAGGTCTGAGCATCTCTGCTTAGGCTGTTACACAACCCTGCCCTGAATAAGCGGAAGAAGATGTATGGATGGATGGACTTCATTCAAAAGTGGTTAGAAAACATTTTATGAAATTCACTTTCAGCGTTTTAATATGAAATAAGATTAGATAACACCTAAATACACACATTAAAAGTAAAGCTTGAAACAGAAAAACAACCAATATTAAAATGATCTCATTTTATATCTAAAAGATTTTTTGTATAAAACCAGAAAGGATGAAATACTGTTGATATGCTGCTGTTGTTGATCAGTGGAGTCTGAGAGAATCAGGAAATTTTGCAACGTTTACAGTTGATTGCTTTTAGTTTATTGCAGCATCATTTTTATCTTTATCATAATGTAACATCACTCATCAGATTTAAGAAATAACTTGTTATTGTTCTAAATATTTATTGATGGTTTCTTTTATTAATTTTCTTTTTTCCTTTGTTTTTCTTTTTGACACTGCATGTATTTGTCTGAAGGTTAGTTTCTTATGTGTCTTTATGTTTTATTTGTTTGTTTGTTTGTTTGTTTCCTTTGCTCTGTTGTCCATATTGTAGTGAGCTCTGCTGCTGTTGTAACCACAGTTTGATGAAAATACGTTCTCTGGATGATGACTTTCTAACATATGAAAGGGAAAATCAATCAGCATTCCTGTAAGAAAAAAACTAAAGGCCATGTTCTTTTATTTAACTTTGGACACATTATAAATGCTTTGCTTCTGGAAACGAATCTAAAATGGGAAGCTTGTTTAGAATCACAGTTTGGTGCTTCACTACTAAGTATCTGATTGTCGCCCCCTGGTGCTTCGGCGGCTGAGTGTACCCATTTCTTGTGCTACGGGATGTGGAGCGTCTCTCCTACATCGGCTCTGGCAAAACTGAGCAACTTCTTCCTTCATTTCCTGGAAGGAGGAGCCATACACGAAGCAGCAGAAACCCGCCGGCTACAGTGGGCTGCTAGCGGGCAAACGGCACCGTGATTCCGACCGTTAATTGGGAGTTAAGAGCCTAACTCAGATGCCTCTATGATCCAGCTAACCGTACAGCGAGATATACAGAGTTCAGTTTGCACAAGGTAAGGCGTTTGGGGGCACTAAATTAGCTAGCGTGAGGTTAGCTAACCGTGGGTAGGTGTCACGGTCACGTACACCAAACCCCATTCAAAAATCTGTCAATTTAAGGTTCGCCCTAGTCTGTTAACCCCACCATGAAGCTCATCTATAACGAGTTAGTTTAGTCGGCAGCGAGATATATTTCGATGCCGACTGATTGAAAATTTGAGAATTTGCTCTGCAGTCGAAATAAACCCTGTTTGTTTGTTTTTTTTTACTAAAAAAAAAGTGCAATCAAAATGAAAAGTCTAGTGAAAATTCTCCTAATTTTAAATTTGATTTTACCATTTAAATGTACTATAGATGGAGGCTGGTCTATCTCCATGTCCAATGCACATTGCCAGCTTTATGGTTGATTAATGCATATTTTTGGTGCATTTATTAATGAAATTATTTTCCATAAATTAAATGAATTTAGTGGTAGAATGATCTCCATAGAAGCAAGGCTAACTATTTGTCATCGCCACAGTGAGGAGGACGACAGGTTTATTTTTAGTTGATTAAGAAAGATGGAGACAAAATTAATGGCAGAATAAACCAAATAAAACAAGGTATCACGGATTTATGAATGGCGGGGTGTAAAATAGAAAGTAGTTCCCCATGTGCTGGGAGATTAGCAAAAGGGATTAGCGCTGCACAAGGACAAACAGACGACAACCACGCACCACTCCTTCCTTCATTACACCCTCATCTTTATCCTAACATGCCACAAAACCCATTTCTCTCAGGGGGCTGCCTGCTGTGGTTTTAAATTATGGTGGTGTAATAGTATTTAGGTTATTTTGACTCTACACATACATGAAAAATCAGAATCCGACAAAATTCAGGTTGTTTAGATTCAGAATTGATCTAATGACCCAATTAGGATAAAATACCATTTTCCTCTGCACTTATTCTCTCGAGAAGACCCTGCTTCACAGCCTACCTGTGAGACGGTTTGATCATTTCAGGTTTGACCTTCTGAAATGTGAGGATTTTCTGGTTTTCTCTGTTGCTGTAAAATAGAATAAGCTTGGTAAGACTGAGTAAATTGAAGATCTGGGTTAAATCCCTGCCCACGTGTGTCTGTTATGTGTAATCGTGTAAAGTAAGAACAACAACAAAAGAAACCGATCATCTACATGCATTTATTTTTTGGCATTTTATCAGAATTGAAAAAAAGAATAATGTTGTATTCATCTATAAATATTGGGAAGTACACAGATACAGGCAAGAATGGGGAAATAATTTTAGGTTTCCGTTAGATATTTGATTGTCTGTGCAGTTAAAGTAATTTAAAGACCTAGAATAGGTCCCACTCGTTTAAGATCTACGTTGTGTACATATAGATTGTTGTGCCCTGCATTCAACATCACAGGAACACCTTACATAATCTCTCACTAAGGGAATACTGATATTATTCCCTGTCTTGCTTCATCACCTCAAATGTGAGGGTTATCTGGTTTTCTCCAATGTTGTAAACTAACTATTGGACGAGGCTTAGCTCTTGTCTTATTTATTAGTGTGGATACTGATTAAGCATCCACAGTATTAAGATCCTAATCTTTCTTATTATATTTCTCTTTGTAATATAAATATTCTCTATATTTGATTAGAAGGCTGTATTCTTCCTGCCCTTAACCTCTACAGGTTTGTTTAAATATGTAAGTCAAGGCCCTGGATTAGACCTCTACTTATTCTCTTTAGACTAAGAAGATTTGAGTTTGTATTTTGATGACAACAGCAAGATGACTGAGTTTTGACATATGAATGAGAAGAAAATTTCGTTTGTCATACATAGCAGAAGTACCATTAGATGGATTCATAAATTAACAATAATCTCAATGATTGAGCTGCTAACTTAAACAGTATCTCATGCATTGATGTTAAATACTCTGAGGTGCACAGTAACACTCATGGTAGTGCTGGCTGTTGTCCTGTTTCTGTGAGCTGTACAGCTGTTCTTTTTTCCCCATAGTAGAAGCTTGGATGCATTCGACCATACATAAAGACAGCTGCTCGTTTGTAGCAGCAGTTGATGTTTGAGGCTGGATTACCAACCAAGCAAATATCCTGAGGCCTTGAAGGTTTACTATATATCACTTAATTTAATTTGACATATTTTATCTACTTTAATAGCCATCATATGACCCTGATCTTAAAGGAGAGGACTGGCTCAGTTGTTTTAAGGCAGCTTTAGTTGTTGTTGTTGTTTCTGTAGGTCAAGTAGTGAACACCCAAAAACTTGAAAATAATGACAAACAACAGTTATTTTAAGACTCAATGCCACTGTCAGATTTTTTTCCCCCCTTTCAAATCTATAATCATTTAAAAGGTCAATTATCATATTTCCCTTCTCTTCTCCACCCTGTCCTGCACTCAGAAACCTAAAAATCTCACTCATCAAGGGGTAGTGACGTGTGATTGAGATGTTGTTGCACAGTGTGCATATCCTGTATGTTCCTCTTTTCAAACTCTAATAATGGACATAATTGACAAAATTAACTTGATTTTATTTCAGAATAACCTGAAGCTACTGACTAAACCTGTTAGCTGAGGTTGAAGAATGAAAAAGCCAAAGATTGTTTCCTTAAGTATACAAAGTAACAGTGGTGTTGTCTGTCAGTTGCTCAGCTGGTTGGTTGAGAGAGTTTGACTTGGGAAAAACAGGGGCAGAAGCGATCAGACATGATTAAGGTCCTTTACAATGACCTTAAACACACTTAAGGGCAGTAGCTCTTTTGAATCTAGCTGATTTGTCAGTTGAATCAAAATGAAAGGCTCTGCAAATTTGAAAAGAAAAAGAAAAGTTTTCAAATTTGTTACAGACTTTAGGGTGAAGCATTTAGCTTGCTTTTGGGGCCACAATCTTCTCCATCATCTTCCCACAACAAGATGGTCAAAGTTCAAGTTGCAATATAATAAGATGCAGTAGGCCCCAGTTGTAGACATACTGCATATAAAAGTATGCACCTTTTAAGAGCAGCTGCAGTACTGCATACCAGGAGTGTAACTGTTTATATTCAGTATTGTGTAATAATGAACTCTCTGTTACACTGAATTTCCAGCAGTGTGTCAGAGATCCGTTAAACTGTGTGGCAGGGCGACTGCTTCGATTACATAGTTATCATGTTACACACCTTTAAAAGCCACAGTTATTTTCAACAACAAAGACGTCTATTTTAAACCCAGCAGTGTTGCAGACTGTCTGAAGAGCTGCTGTCCTCACTGATCGAGGACTTTTTAGGGAGTTTTTGCTTGCAGTTCTTACATGATTCTCTTCACTTGTGGTTTTTGACAAACACTCTATTCTTAAGGAATAGAAAAGCTTAGTTCAGCTGGAGCAAAGCAGAAGTCAGATGCCTTTGTTCTTTACTAATAATAACGTTCAGAAAATGATCATTTAAGTACTCCTACATATGGATCTGTGCTCAAAAATATCACCAGTAGAAATGTGCTTGTAAGTACCCTTAAAATTGAATTATGTCAATTATCAGTTATATCAGTGGTGATAAGTACTGTTAAATATGGATTTTTTCATAGCCTGCTTCTGTCTCTTTAAGTTGCTGTTTTAGGCGCTGGTACATTTGTCAGTATTATTATAAATGTATATTTTATTAACTGCCTTTTGGCAGAGCCTTCAGTTTGTGTGGCGAGAGCTCCCAGTTCATATTCAGGAGACAGACACCCTCTCTACTTTTATGACTAAGCTTAAAACTTTCCTTTTTGATAAAGCGTATTGTTAGGGCTGGATCAGGTGACCCTGAATCCTCTCTTAGTTACACTGCCTATGGCATCTTAAGAAGAATAATTCATCTCAGTTTTTTCCCAATATGAGGAAAAGCTGTTGTAGCAGGTCTTCTTGGGCTTATAGTCCAAGAAATGAATGTAAAATTGCAGGAAAAAGTACTGGAAGCTTTCCACACATTATCCCGTAACAAGCAGGATATTTAAAAAAAAATTTAATTTTAAGCTGTAGAATAAGTGCACGAAATTAAAATTCTCTAACATTCAATGGTTAATATACAGTTGAAAAAAGTAACGTAAAATTTTATTTATATAGCACCTTTCAAGAATAAAATCACAAAGTGCTTCACAGAAGCTAAAACATAAAAACAAAAATCAACCAAAAGCAAGTTTAAGAAGATCAGTTTTTAGCTGTTTTTCAAAGCCTGAGCCTGAGTCCACAGGTCTCAGGCTCAATGGGAGAGCGTTCAAAAGTCTGTGGCCACAGTTACGAAAGCTCTGTCACCTTTTGTTTTCAACCTCATGTGCTGGACAACCAGCAAGCCCTGATCACATGACCTCAGGGACCTGCTGGGGATGTAAGGATGTAAAAGATCGCTGATGTATGTTGGTGCTTGTCCATGCAGAGCCCTAAATGTCAAAATCATAACCTTAAAACACCTCTTTTTCTGTGATTCAGTGGTTAGTCTGTGACTGACTTTGTATATTGTGCCGGGCTGTGGTTACGATGGTTAAAGTGGCTTTATCGTAACCATTTAGTATGTCTGCATGTAATTCACTGAGGAGTTTTTTTTTTTTTTTTCCCATGCATCATTAATCGCAGCTTTTGTCTTACAATTTTTATATGTTACAAGTACAAAAGAGCATCTTTTTAATCTCAGTTGTTTTATTGCTTATTTGCTGGATGTACTCATTTGTTAAAGGCCTAGTGTTGACCACAGAAAGAGGCTTACTGTCACAGTATAGCCGTTTGTGAAAAACCTCTGTGTGTAACTGATGGTTAAAATAAAACATTTCAATTCATTCAGATTTTTTGTGTTCAAAGTAGAAAAATAAATATTGAATGGTCGATTTGAATGTGTATACCAGCGCAATTCTAGGCACTATATAGTTGAAAATAACATTTGTTTATAGAGGTTATTTAAACATATCATGATTTAAATATTGTGTATTGCGATATAGCCTAAAAAAATTGCGATATTAGATTTTCCTCATATTGCCCAGCTCTAGTTGGAAT